TCTTCAAAAAGACAAACACATGACATGATGACAGTAAATTCTCCATAGTAAATTATGAGGGAAAAACAGGAAAAAAACTTCATAATACTATCCCGACATGGTTATTATTTGTTCGTGCATTTAGTTTACCTTCAATAAACACCAAAATTCTGATTTTATATGTTTCGTTATTTAAAAAACATAAATGATGTATCCTCTATATGTTACTGACTTACTAATACTGGTAGTTTCTTATTAATAACTTCCTCTTTCAATATTGGTAACCAGATCCTGCTACATTTTGCCGAGGAATTTGCGACACAATTGGCCTTATTTAGCATAATTAGAGCCGCTTCTTTGATTTTTCTTTTTTTTACCATCCGTTTCTTTTAGGACTACATTTGAATTATTCCATTGAACGCTATATTCGTTATCCCATGCGTGTTTACATATTTTAGATCTATCAAATTCTCTATTTTTAATATAAGATTGATGTTCATTTATTCTAACAATTAATGGCTTTGATGTTTCACCTAAATAAAACTGATCGCCTTCACAAGGTATTTTATAAATGCAATTCTTTGTCCTTTCTTGTTCATTGTAAGGTTTGGTTTTGGACAAAATAGATCTCAACGTGTTTGTTGTTTTGAATGTTGTTGAAATGTTGAATTTATTTCCTATCCTTTTAAGTTTTTCCGATAATCCTTTTATGTACGGTATTGTTATTTTCCTCGTTTTATTCCTTGTGTATGCTGTAGGATCTCGTTCTAAGTTGTTCTGTTCTATTCGATCGATTGTTGAAAATTCCTTATTTATAAACGATAAAGGATAATCATTTTTTAATTAAACAGATGTTAACAAATGTTTCTCCTCCAAGAACGAATTATCGTTAGAACAAGTAATTTTGGCTATATCGTATAAGGATTTAATTATTCCCTTTTTACATTAATATTGTGATATGATTTGAAATTTAAATATCTATTGGTGTGTGTTGGTTTTCTATACACCTGAGTCTTATATCCAGTACCGTTCTTAGAGATTAAAACATCCAGGAAAGGTAGCGTGTTATTATAATCCTTTTCCATGGTAAATGTTATTGTCTCTTCTTTATCGTTTATATCATTTAGAAATGTGTCCAACAACTCTGATCCATGAGGCCATATTGAGAATACATCATCTACATACCTCCACCATCCTGTGGGTTTGAAATTTTGTTTAGAAATGATATTTGTTTCAAAATCTTCCATAAATATATCGGCTAAGAATGGAGATAAACTAGAGCCCATTGCTAGACCAAAATTTTGTTTATAGAATTCATTATTTAGTTGAAAATATGTATTATCAGCACATAATGTTAATAACTCCATTATAGCCGATATGTTTAGTCTTGTTCTAGTTGCCAACGAATCATCACTCTCTAATTTTGTCTTGACTATACTTAAAGCCTTATTTAATGGCACATTCGTAAATAAACTATTTATGTCAAAACTTACCAAAGTATTATTTGAATTAAATTCAATATCTGATAATTTATTTAAAAAATGTTGTGTATTTTTTATGAATGTGTCATTTTTATTTGTAAATAGTTTTAAAATATTTAATAAAAATTTTGATAGTTCACTACAAGGAGAATTTATGGTACTCCAAATGGGTCTAAGTGGTATATTCGTTTTATGAATTTTCGTTACTCCATAAAAATGAAGAGTCTTACTGTAATGAGGTGTTATTAATCCTCTCTGATAACTTGTTAAAAAATCTTTAAACTTGAATAAAGTTCTATATATTTTGTTTTCCAAAGGCTTTGTTGGATCGTTTGTTAATTTTGTATAAGGTCGTTTTATTATTATATCTTTAATTTTGTTTTCGTATTGAATTTTATCCATTATCACAGTTGCATTCCCCTTGTCTGCTGGTAGGATGATTATGGAGTCGTCATTTTTTAAAGTTCTTATAGCCTATAGTTCCTCTTTGCTTATGTTTTGTTCAATTTTAGTAGATTTTTCAAATTCAAGTTTACATAACACTCTGTATTCTTCCTTTTCGTGAGTTGGTAAGCATTTTTTTCTGACGAATATTCTCAAGTTAAAGTTGATTTCATGTAATCGAATGAACTATCTTATAAGTAAAGTCGTCCCAGGAGCGCAACTCAATAATATTGGCAATATCATTTTAAAGTCGTCTACTTAAAAATGCATAATGTATGTCTGAATTGTCAATATAAATGAGTCAGATAAAATTAAATTATTAGAAGAATTTTTCACTATGTAACAAAAAAGAAAATTTGTTTAAAATTCCACTAGGAAACTTAGTTCCTGTAGCTGGCTGTATACCATATATCACAAAAAATTGTTTAAAATCCTTTATAAAAGGTATATAAAAATGCCCCAAACGGGCTATCACGAACACATTGCAAAACGTTTTCGGATTGATAAATCCATCATCAGTGCAAACGGTTCTACATGCTAGTAGCCACCAAAATATATGGGTCAAAATCCTTTAAATGTTTTAAATTTGTAGTTGTTTTACATTATTAATAGTTATAATTTGTGATGTTTAAGTTACCGTTGGATAGGTAACATGGCGGCGTATGACTCTACATAAGTAAACTGGTCCTGAGACGAAGTGTCTACGAGGACCTGTTGATAACAACTCTCAGTTGTTATCCAGTCAAACGGTATATAGAAGAAAAATGACAGAACATAGAGACAGTCATGTTGGAAGTAGCGGGAAAGTGGATAGGAAGAGAGTATATAAAAAGTCGGCAAGACTGGTTCGATAAATTATGTAGGAATGCTTTGACAAAAAAAACAGAGCAAAACTACAAAGACATAGGGAAAATATATGAAAAATATCCAAAATGCGAATGAAAACCATGTGGCGAGAAGAAGAGAAATAAAAAAAATTTGCAAAAAAAAGCAACAAGAAAAGCAATTGGAAACGTAGAAGACGCCTACATAAACAAAGAGGTAAAGAATTTCTACCAAGGAGTTAAGAAATCCAGAGAAACTAAAAAGAGTAATCCACAGTATTGCAGAAACAAAGAAGGTTTACTTATAGGAGAAACAACAGAAAAATTAAACAGATGAGCGGAATACTTCGAAGATCTATTAAAAACTGGCCAACAAGAGGAACTCAAGGAAAATGATAATTGTCAAGAAGATGAAGAAGGGACATTCGAAGAACCAACTTTGAATGAAGTCGAAAAAATAATAAGAGACATAAAAAATAACGAAAGTGCAGGAGAAAGTGGTATCACAGCTCAAATTTTTAAGGAAGACGGCGAAAGGTTGAAGAAAAAAATATTTCGTTTGACAATAATAATTTGACAGAAGAAAGAAATGCCAAAACAATAGAATAGCGCTCTTATTTGTCCTATCTTTAAAAAGGAGACAAAACGAAGTGCAAAAACTATAGAAGTATAATATTAGAAGTAATCTATAAAAAACTTAAAATATAATAACAAAGTGATTGGAGAATACCAAGGAGGTTTTAGACCAGGTAGAATAACTACTGGAAATACATGCTTGGCGGAGGAAGGCGATGAATAGGGACGACTGGAAGAGAATTCTTGGGGAGGCTAGGACCCACACAGGGTTGTAAAGCCAAAATGATGATGAGAATAACTACTGATCGAATAAGTCTGTTAAAATTAATACAAAATAATAGCTACGAACAAAACTTAGGATTACATATGCTTATACAAGTCCAAAGAGCTAGATGGCTTGGTCACATTACACGAACGCCATGGAATCGAAATGTTAAAACAATACTAAAGGAGAAAGAAATGAAAAAAACGAGATAAAGGAATCCAAAGAAGAAATGGTTGAAGAGCTGAAAAGCAAGACTTGTCAGAAATAAGCGTGAGATAAACGAAAATTACTAAGTTCTCGGGAAGAACCGCGTTGAGAATTTAATGCTCGACGTTCTGGCACCCATTTTGGAGCTATTTTCAAGATGGATACGGTCCCGTTCGAGTTTAGGGCCTCAATCTGCCTACCCCCCTCACTCGTGACGTACGTACCATTATCGTGTACTGTATAAATACAAGAACCGTCAAACGGCACTGAGGTATCAATCTTCCTACTCCTTGTCACTCGACACTGAGGGCAAGAGCACTAGGCTGCAGCAGTTAGAAATTTTCTAAATGCAATTTAAAATTTTGCAATTTGAATTTGAATCCCATGGACCTTTATATTTGGGGTTATTTGAAAAGTAAGGTATATGTAAACCAACCTACCAATTTGGTAGATCTCAAACAGAGAATTACACCAGTGATGTTGTCAAACATAACCCAAGAATTCATTGGACGTCTTGTATACTGTCAATTAAACCTAGGAGCACAATTGAAGGATTTACTGTAATTATGTTATTTAATATATCAAAATATATGATTAATAATTGCAACATATTAAAATAAATTAAATTTTAAGAAATACGAGCACTGGTTTCCTCTCCACTCTGTTTACTGAAGTTTAAATGTGATGAGATGGTACGGTTGTACTCAGAAAAATATGGGCTTTTAATTTTTTAGATAAAAATATGCCCTTTCTATTAAAAAAATATATCGACGATGTAACATCTGCTAAGGAAGTGAAGAAAAAAGCTTTTTTTCCAAAAAGGTAAAAAAACAAAAATAAAAATCGACCTCTCAGAGCTTTAACTCTGAAAAAAATTCAGCCAAAACATAATACACCGTTTCCACACTTTATGAATTCACTATATAATAAAGGATTTTTATAAAACTTTTATGATTCATAGTATACAGCCAACTACAGAAATTTTATTTTCCATGAATATCTAGTTATTTGCTTTTAAATCGCCTTTCAACATTTTATTGGAATAAAAAATGATGTCATTATTATTTTTTACAATGACGTTAAAACATTTGAAAATTATTCGGATACAATACTTCCAATATAAAATAGGTGATAATGACATCCGAATTAAGAGTATTAATCATATTTGCTACCTATATAAACTCAATGCTGCTTGTCAAAGCATCAAAATTTATTATTTATATAAAAAACCATGACGGTCAAAACAATTTTAGTATCAGGGATAATTGCTGTATTGTGCATAACATGTGTAAGTATTTTTGTGTTATATTTTATGGATTTAAATTTACAGAAGATACCAAATTATATATAATTTACTCAAAGGGTCTTATAGAGGCATTTCCATTTGGATATGATTATTATACTCAGTTCGGTCAGTCTCTATCTATCTATCTAATTAGCCTTCTTCGGTCCACCTTTGGACATAGGCCTCCCCAATCCTTTTCCATTCTTCTCTGTCTGTCGCTACAGTCATCCATCTAGAGCCCAAGTGCTTCTTGATATCATCTGCCTATCTCATTTGGGGCCTTCCTTTGCTTCGTTTATATTCCCACGGTCTCCAACTTATAAGAATTTTGTTCCATCGGTCTTCTTTTTGTCTTATATTGTGTCCGGCAAATCTCCATTTCAATTTTGCAACTTCTTGTCTAACATCCCTCACTTTTGTTTTCTCTCTTATCCACTCGTTTCTCTTCTTATCCATTAGTCTTATGTGCAACATTTGTCTTTCCATTGCTCTTTGGGTTTTTATGATTTTGTCCATGTTTGCTTTTGTAGATGTCCACGTTTATGAACCATAAGTAAGAACAGGTAGTACGCATTGATTATATAATTTGGTCTTAAGATGCTGTGGATATCTTTTGTTTTTAAGAATGTAGCTTAGTTTGCCAAATGCTGCCCATGCCAGTCTAACTCGTCCCTTGATCTCTGTTGTTTGGTTCTCTTTGTTAAGTTTTATAGTTTGACCAAGATATATATATATATATATATATATATATATATATATAAATATATATATATATATAATCCTTAACTTGTTCTATTTCATCTTGTCCGATTTTCATTGTGATGTCTTCATCTGTATTTGTTATAGTTTTGGTCTTGCTGTAATTCATATTAAGGCCTATCTTTCCAGCTTCTACGTCCAGTTCTTTCATCATTTCAAATAATTCTTCTGTTTTATCGGTTATCAATACGATGTCATCAGCGTACCTTAGATGGTTCAAGCGTTGTCCACAAATTTTTATACCTTTTTTTCCCATTGAAAAGTTTCAGTGATATTGTATCACCCTGTCTCATGCCTCTACTTATTTGTAATGATTTTGTTCCTCCATATACTTTAATTGTTGTTTTGGCTTCCTTATATATATATATAATATATATATATATATATATATATATATATATATATATATATATATATAATATATATATTGGTTATTAGTTCCGTATATCTGTGGTCAATTCGGCTGTTAATCAAAGAACTTTTCACTGCCCAATGTTCGACACTGTCGAAAGCATTTTCGAAATCTATAAAACGCCATATATAGAGGAATGTGGTATTCATTTGCTCGTTCTATAAGTATTTTCACACTTAGTAAATGGTCACTTGTGCTGAATCCCTTTTTAAAACCAGCTTGTTCTTTCGACTGGTATCCATCGAATTTTGTCGTCAATCTATTGGTTAAAATTGTTGTTAGGAGTTTATACATTACATTGAGGAGTGTTATAGGACGGTAGATTTTTATATCTGCTTTATCTCCTTTCTTGTGTAGGATAATGGTTACTGATTCCTTCCAGTTGTTTGGGATTCTTTTTTTTTTCAGTCTCAGTCTGTACTGAGTCAGTAATGAGTCTTAGTACTCATTAAATATGCATTTTTGTTATTTATTAAACACTACTAAGATGCTTAACAACATTAAAATCTGATCAAACAATATGATCAATGAGCAACTTTTTTCTAGCCTAAATAATTACTAAAAACTTAACTCCCTGCTGTCCCACAGATTCTGTTAATTTATTGCACAAATATTAAACTGTGCCATAACTTGCACTATACTCTGCTTTTCACTTAACTAATACGAAGGGTTTATTTCTTTTGATTCTTCTAGCCAAATCCATGTTGTCAAGGAATCGGATGGCCTTGATGACTGACGTGGTGAAGAAGTTGTTGTTCGTGACCCTTTTGGCAAATTTTCGAATGGTTTTGTAAACAATATCCATTTTTAGATTATTATATTATGGAGCTGGAGGTCATTATTTCTATAGTATCAAGGAGCATTGACAATGTTCTTTGACACTTTGCTTTAAAATTTCTGGATAATAACTAAATTATTCTTAGTAGCACATCCACACAGCTGGATGCAATATATCCATATATGTTTTAGAATCTGTTTATATAAAAGTATTTTGTTGTAGATTGACAGAGCGAATTGCTTTCTTCTTCTTCATGTACCATATCCATTTTAGAACGTTGGTTACCATCATAGCTATCTTAAATTTTATTCACTGCCACCCTAAATAGCATGCTTATATCAACACCATACCAATCTCGCTAATTCTTCAACCATGAGTTTCTTTTTCGTCCTGGACTGAAAGTTAGCTAGAAACTCATTCTGCGAAGCTTTCAAAACAGCTAAAGATAGAGACTAATGGAGAAAAATTGTAGAGTAATGGGAAATATCGGAGTGTTTTTATAAATTTGTCACCTTAGCTTTTGCTTGTCTGTATTTCATATTCTTTAGCTCTACTAATTTGTTCTCACAGCGTATGGGTATGATCCAGGGTACCGAATCCACCTCTAAGGCTTGCTCTCTTGGCTTTACATCATCTAATGCATTTATTAATCTGTTGCTGAAGATCTTTGTGAACATTTTGTATATGATTGGTAGTAGACTTATAGATCTGTAGTTTTTGATACCCCCTTAGCTACATTTCTTATGAATGAGAATGATGTTTGCCTGTTTTCCAGTGATCTTAAGCAGTTTGTAAATATGCCTGTAAGATTTTCCCTTTTTGTTGCCAGCGTATTTAAGCTGTTCCACTGTTATGTCGTTTAGGTTGGTCTTAAGGATGATTTCTATTAATTGAGAGCGGTCGATTTGGCCACGTAATTTTTCAGCAATTATCCTTTGATGGTGATCTGAGTTTTTTTTAGATTGTTAATATTTATACCAAAAACTGTTGGTTTTGTGACTAATTTTGTTTTTTCTAGTTTTAGATCTAGGATAATTTTTACTCTAATTAATCTATGGTCTCTGGGTCTATGATCTACGGTTACCCAAGTCCATTTTGTCTTCAGTTTTTTCTTAAAAAATGTATTGGCAATAGGCATATTTTAGTAATGTGCAAACTAAACCCTTCTTTGTCCTCTTTCAGTTTTTTCACTGACTCCATACTTACATTATTATTTAATGCTTCAGTTATGTTACAGTAGAGTTCTTTTATTTGTTCGTCAATGTCAGTAGTCGTTAAGGCGCAGATTTGTATAATTTGTATATTGTATCTCTTTGATAGTTGGATGGTTAAGCTAGCTGCTCTATCCGAGATATTAGTTCCTACTTCTACTACTATTCGTTTTCATTTATTGTTGATTAGGAATCCAATAGCGTGGTTTCTGACGCTAATTCTAATCTCTTCATATTTCTGCTTTACTTTGCTGATTCTTATTACGTCCCATTTTGTAATTTCAGTTTCTTTTGCCACTTCTATAAATCTAGGTTGATTTAATAGTGAACAGGAGTTATATGTCGCTCCTTTCGCAAAAACCACCAAGTTCAGAGCCATTTAAGCCTATGGAGAATGAGCGCCATGCTTTAAGTGTGTCTTTCATGTTAGGAGTTGTGAGGCGTACGTTGCTTTAGTGCGGGTTTTTTGGTTTCATTTCCATGTTGTGTCTTCTATAGTTATCAATTCTTAATCGACTTTTGTTATTTTTAAATGTACTCTTTCATTTTCGGCTATGTTTCTAAGCTATGTTCCTCTATGTATACTTGCTGTGGATATTTATTTCTGTTACTATCCCCAATTCTTTGCTTATGAAGATTTCTATTTCGTTTTTTAGTTGCTCTTCTTTTGATATATCTATTGGTTAGCTCCTCAATATTAATTTGTTTTTCTTCTTTTCTTTCTTTCATACTTCTATAGTCATTTCTATTTTATATATTTTGTATTTTATGATCCTTCTTTAAATTTTCATTTTTTTGTATTTACTCGTTTAATTATTGCAGTTTATATTCACTATTCTCCTTCGTGATTTCCTTTTTCTCTAGTTTATTTCTTATATTATATATTTTATACCCTTAAGCTTCTTATTTTTCCTTTTGTCGTTATCTATTAGTTGCTTCATTAATTACATCATTTCATTCTGTTCATTCGTTTAATTTTATTTTTGTTTTTATCTTATCTGGTATTCGGTATATTTTTTTGCTTTTGCCAAATATTTTTTTATTTATCTTTGTTCTTAATTTTACCATCATCTGATCTATTACGTCATTGTCTGTTATCTTCTACTTCCTTCTTATTTAAACATTAATAACAATAACTTTTTAATAATCTTTTTTTTTTGTCTCTAGTTCACTGACACAGTTAAACTTTTTATGGTGTTCGCTGAATATAGCTTAAAATGAGTTAGTTTTCGCAGCTTCCACCTTCACAACCTTCTTTGTCGACTACAGAGTTGCACTCCGTAATTCCGATAATTACACAAATCAAACGTCCCGTGCCCTGTTGCCGTGAACCTACCCAATTCATTTCTCGATCAGTTGCCGAACTGTCTCTGCCTATATCCACAGACCTTCTCTTCTGAGCTGTCAGTTTTTTTGTCACAATATTATACAGCAATTAATAATTATATTGAATATGATCGATCTGTTCTAAACCCTCGCCACTCTGCTTCTACTGGTGTTCTTTTGTTGATTTTATTTGTTAGTATTCTAGTTGTAAGCTTTAAAACGATCTTTCATGTGTTTATTACAAAGTACTTACTGAGATTTTCAGCGTCTCTTCTATAAAAAAATATTTGCCAGATTATGTGTTTTTTACAATGATTTACTTTTGCTTAACTAACTTAAGTGTAGCAAAGAGGAAAGCAAAATGCGCTGTAGCTACTACTAAGAGTTGGAAATACCCGAGAAGATGAAAAGGTTATACAATATCGGTAAAGCAAGGTACAAATCATTAAAAGACGTGACCCACATGCAGCAGATTACGTGCAGATGGAAGATGTTGAAATAAAGCGAAGATGGTATGAGTACTTTAGAAAGTTACTAAATGAAGAACACCAGAGGAGAGATAGAGAATGAGGATTCTTAAATGGGAATGTAATACCGAGGATGGCTAGAGTAAAGTTAGTAGAACCTGATGGAATACCTGTAGATGTTTGAAAGGCTCTAGGAGAGGAAGGAATTGATATTTTGTGTCAGATGATGAGTAGGATATATGAGAAAAAAAGGCGCCCAATGCATGAAGAGTGTGATGTTATCATTATATAAAGATAAAACGAACATTCAGTATTAAAAGTACTATAAATGAATAAAGTTTATTTTACGAACAATAAAAATTTCGGAGAGTACCATAAAGAGGTTAAGGAGAGAGATCGATAGGAGAACAGTTTAGGTTTATGCCAGGAAGGAGGACAACGGGTGCCATACTTGCTTTGAGACAGTTGGTAGAGAATTATGGCGAGAAGAAAAAAGCTTCTTCTTCTTCTAATTCCATGACCGTTAACGATCGTTGGATATCATGTTGGCTACCATATTCGCTATCGTGACTTTATTGACAGCAGCTCTAAATAACGATGTAGTTGATTTTCCATACCAGTTGCTTAGATTTTTCGGCAATGATGTTCTTCTTCTACCGGGACTACGATTACCTTGGATATTTTCCTGAATGATCAGATGTAAAAGATCATATTTTCAGGGTGTCTTATAATGTGACCGAAGTATTCCAGCTTGAGTTTCTTTATTATATTGACCAGTTGTGTTGTTTGGTTCAACCGTCTAAAGACCTCCTCATTTCTAACTCTGTCAACCCAGCTTATTTTCAGTAGTCATCTGTATAACCACATCTCAAAGGCTGTCAAGCGTTTAAGGATAGCCTCAGTTAGAGTCCACGCTTCCACTCCATACAGCAGGACAGAAAAGATGTAGCAAGATGTCATTCAAACTCTAAGGTCATGCTAAGTTCGTGGCTGCAAAGTACGTTTCTCATTTTTACAAAGGCAGCTCGGGCTTGTTCTATTCGGCTTTTAATTTCTGTTGTTGGATCCCAGCTCTCATTGATATTACTGCCGAGATACACGAGTTTCTCTACTCTATCTAGTGTGGCTAACTATTATATATTTAGTTTTCTTAACGTTGAGTTTTAATCCATACTGATCACAAGTCTGTTTTATTTTTTTCACTATATTTTGAAGGTCTTCTCCGCAATTAGCAAGCACTAAGGTATCGTAGGCATATATTATACTGTTGACGGTAACTCCATTCACAATAATACCTTCGGTTGTCTCCATTAAATCTTCCTTAAATATTTTCTCCGAATATAAGTTAAAAAGTAAAGGCAACAATATACAGCCTTGTCTTACTCCTCTTTTTATATTTATTTCATTCAACAGTTCTTGTTTAACCTTTATCCTTGCCACTTGATGCCAGTATAGATTTGTAATTATTCGTAGATCTTTATCGTCCAATCCAGCTGTTTCCAATATTTCTAGCATTTTGTTATGTAGGACTTTGTCAAAAGCCTTTTCAAAGTCGATTGCACAAATGTACACATTTTGATTTATATCTCTGCATCTCTGTACTAGCACCTGTATACTAAACAAGGCTTCTCTTGTACCCAAGCCACTCCTAAACACAAATTGAGTATTGCTAATTCTGTCCTCTAACAGCGTGTAAATTCTGCTGTGTATTACTCGCAGAAAGATCTTCAAAACGTGACTAATCAGACTTGTCTGATTTGTATTGTCCGATAATCACCACATGTCTTTGGAAGATGTGTCAATCGGTATATAGTATTCTACTCTCTCATCTTCAAATAATTCAGAAATGTAGTTTTCTATTACACTTACTACTAACTCTTTTTAATCTCAGTCTTATTTTTTTTACTAAAATATTGTGATCTGTTGGTACATCTGCCCCTGGATATGTTTTTACTGCTGATACTGAATTTCTGTATCTTTTATTTATACATATGAAGTCTATTTGGTTACGAATAACTCGTTCAGGTGTATCTGGTGATTTCCAGGTGTAAAGACGACGTTATGGAAGTTTGAAAATTGTGTTGGTTATTACTAATTGCTTGTCTATGCAAAAAAATGCCAACATGTCTCCTCTTTCATTTCGTTTTCTTAGACCATATTTTTCTATGATATCTTCCTGTTCACCTTCACCAATATTTGCATATGTTTGCATTAAAATCTCCCACAATAATATGATAATATTGCTATTATAAAAAAAGCTACATTTGGTATTAATAGATCTTTAAAAGACGTACTACACTGTCACTAGACAAGAGGCATGGAGGCGTATGAGAGAGAAACGGGTTCCTAAGAAGTACGTAAGGCTCGTGAAGGACAGGTATAAGGAAGCGTACACCAAAGTAAGAACTTATATTTGGTTGACCGAAAGTGTTTCAGTGACGGCTGGTTTGCATCAAGGCTCTTCACTGATTACCTACCTGCTTAATCTTGTTGTGGATGTACTGACAGAGAAAGTAAGGAAAGGGGCTACTGGGTAAATGCTCTTTGCTAATGACATCGTGTTAACAGAGGAGAAAAGCAAAGATATGTTGGATGAGAAGTTGGAGGGTTGAAGAAGGGTTCTTAAAGAGAAGGACTTAGTATTAGCGGGTCAAAAGCAGAGTATATGTGGTTATGTGAATAGGAGTTAAGGAATAGTTAGGGACATATAACTGCTCGGAGAAAACTGGAAAAAGGGGCAGAATTTAAATACCTTGGCTCTTACATAACAGAAAATGAGACACCAGATCGAGAAACTGCCACAAGATACAGGCTGGTTGGTTTAACTGGAAGCAAATAAGCGGGGTACTTTGTGATCAAAGAAAGGCTGAAAGAAATGATCTACAAGAGTGGTAAGATCTGAGTTGGCATTCGGCAGTGAAGTTTAGCCGCATGTTAAGACGATTAAGGAAAACAAGATGGAGGTAGCTGAAATGAAAATGTTACGGTGAATGTTGGGTAAGACTAGAAGAAACAAGATTAGGAACGACTTGATTAGCAAAGGAGCCGCAGTGACTACATCCGAACTGATTCAAACAATCAGTAGTATCAAAAGCAAATCTTCCTGTAGTACTGATGGACTATCCATGATCTTTGTTTTAAATCTTGTAAAAAGCCTGACTTATGTCCTTCTTAATTTAAAACAACATTTTATCACAAAGTCAGTTAGGTTTCTTATCTAATAAATGTAACAGCGATGCATGACGTCTATGAAGAACTAAACAATAATATTTATACTGCCACTGTTTTTTGTAACTATGCCAAAGCTTTTAATTATGTAAATGACGACATTTTAATAAGAAAACGAAATTTCTACGGAATTAGAGGTATTTCTTTGAATTGGTTCCAATCTTACTTGCGGAACAGGAAACAACTAGTTAGAGCAACTGATACTGACTCTAATCACCAAAGCAATGTATGTGGAATACCACAAGGTTCAGTACTAGGTTATTTACTTTTCCTTTTCTATATAAGTTACATCACTTATTTAAAAATCGACGGAAATTTTTTTTTCTTTTTGCTGATTATACTAGTATTACCTGAAGGAACTCTAATATTGCAACTCTTCATACAATTATATCTTCTGATCTATTTAAAATAAAAACCTGGTCCGACTCTAATTTACTCTCTTACGTGGATAAGACAGTATAATTATCCTATAAAGGAGTTCTTTAACCCTTGCTTCTTATTAACAGCCATATCAGTATAGTTGATTCTGTAAAATTTCTTGGTATTTTTATAAACAGCAACTTTAAATGGCCCCTTCATATTGATTTGTTAAGTAAGAAACTAGCCTCTGCCTGCTAGGCAATAAGATTTATTTTAAAGGAAATCAATTTAGCATCTTCCAAAATAACATATTTTTCTTTGTTCGAGTTTCATTTTCGATATGGCCTTCTCATCTCATTCTAATCTGATGTTATTTTTAAATTACAAAAAAGAGCAATACGGTATTTTTTGACCTCAGTAGAATAATAAAAATACCGAGATTTTAACTGTTTCCTTTTTATATATTCTAGAAACTCTTTGCTTAGTTTCGTAAATACCTACCTGTTTTCCTAGCAAGACCTAATCATAATTACTCCACATTAAAATTCAAGCTTTGGCGTGTATCTACCGATCCTGTCCACTTTGCTGGTTTCAGAGGTATTAAGCTACAGACGTTCTATTGGTAGAAGTTCGAAAAAATAAAAAATTAAATTAATAACTAAACCTTCCTTTTTTAGGTTTCATGCACAGATGAAAAGATACCCAATTTTGATGAGTGCCTAAAAGAATCAGGAACTTCAATGGACGATTTAAAAGCAATTCCCATTAAGATGACTCACGAAATAATTTGTTTTCATAAATGTATGTATGAAAAAATAGGAGCAATCGATAAAGATGGGAAAATCCAACCCGATGTAATCATGAAGCATATAAAAAAACACATGGAGGTTAGTGCAGATGATGAAAAGTCTACCGTCGATTGTCTAGGAAAAATTCCTAAAATGACTGTTTGTGAAGATTTGGATGAATTAACTAAATGTTTAGAGGATTTAAGGCATCAACAATAGTTCCAAACGGTTAAACAACAAAAACAAAATAAACGAACTCACTATTTTTCTTTGTTTTTTTTTTCGTTATTTCTGTTGCAGAAATACCGGTAGCAGGTTTAAAACTTACGGGTAATACTTTAGCAAATAGTATTAAAGATAGTTATAAAAATTGCATTACCACAGTAGTAGACAAACACTAAACAAGAAATAACAATAAAAAACAATCGTAGTAGCTTTTTCTTCAATTGTTAAATTTAACTAATTTTAATACACATCTTTAAAACCGAGTTCCGAAAATTGTTCTTTTTTTTATTTTTTCTTTAGTGAAGTAATTCGGTTTGGATTTAACTGTGTAACCTGTTTCGTCTGTGTGGAAGTGGCTATTCTAAAGTGATACTAGAATCCGTAATTTTTAAGGATTTAATGGTATGCCATTGTGTTAGTAAAGCCGGAGATACACATACCTCTTACTAACACAATGGCATACCAGTACCTTAGCAAGCACCAGCTACTGTCCTTAAACTGACAAGTGTGTACGTTAACTGGCATGCTAGCTAATTGAAAAAAATTTGATTTTTCATGCTAGTAGCATGCTGTGAGATGCAAGGCGCACGCGTGGCGAGTGCCACTGGTATATGTGAACGTGCGCTACCGTTACGGGCATGCCAGTAGCTAGCAGAGAACTGTCAGATTTGTTTTGTTGGTGATACGTTTTATTTTTAAATTTGTTAATTTAAAAATGTTTCGTTGGGGTAATGGAAAAAACCATCAAATTTATTGCTATATGTAGAGAATCGGAGTGACTTTTGAATTCTAAATTATTTCTATATAAAAAAATAAAATAGCCCGTGACAATGCTTGGACAAAAATTCAAGAGGAATCATTTTCTATATGTTTTGGTTCTATATGTTCCTTTATAGAGGACAAATATATTTCCTTTTGCAGACCATAAAAATCATGTTCCATTTCTTTCGAAAAGCGCTTCCAGTAATAATTTTTAATACACACACACACAAATATATATATATATATATATTATATATATAATAATATATATATATATATATATATTATATATATAATATATATATATATTATAATATATATATTTATAATATATATATATATATATATACATATATATATATATATATATATATATATATATATATATATATATATATATATATATACTTATATATTGCTATGATATTTTGTTTGTGTGTGAGCAATGAGTGTTTTAAAATAAAATATAATATCAGTATAGGGTTTTTATCGCGGTTCTCAAAAAATTAGTTTGTAAGTACTTTTTAAATTATCTTTATTATAACTATTATGAAACACACATATATATCTAATATAGACAATATAAATTTAGAACAACCTATCTCAAATTTGAAAATTCTTACAATAATTAAATTATATTAACAAAATTTGGTACATTTCTATCACTGAATGCCTAAGTGAAACTGTTTTCCAATATAAAAGGTTCAATCACCACTCAATATCTTCTTATCAGCCTCGGTTATCCATGTTTTTGTCAAATTACTTTTTCCAAATATATCAAAATGTGTTAATTATCAACTTCCAACAATTTAAATATTTTTCTTCTTAACAGCATTTAGAAATGAGCAAAATATTCTTCTTTATACTCTCCAATTACCATATAGATATTATAATTTTAAATCCTTCTAATCTTCATATAATATACTTTCAAATACACTGTATACTATCTGCTTGTACTATATAATTATTACTTTAATACTGACCGCTGTATATTATCTGCTTGTACTATTTATTGACTGACTAACTTCTTAATAAACTCACTAATTAACTGTGGAACTGTCTCCTGTTTATCTTCTTAATTAACTAACTCCATACTGTCACTGTAATTATCTAATTTACTCTTATACTAACTTTACTAACTTCATGAATCAACTGTAACTGGCTTAATAATCAATCGCAATAATGAATGCTTGCTCCAAATTACATCGTATTTATATCTTTTCATGGTTCCAGAATCTTCTAGCAACAAATCATGTTCGAAACTCTTCATATCATCAATATATGAAAGTTCTGGAATAATCGACTATGTAAATAGGGTTAACTGCTTTCTATATTGACATTTTCCAGAAAATTCTCTACCCTTCTAGTGAGAATCTTATGGACATCTAGGCTTTGCAGATCAGAATATACGATTATATATAAACTAAACATCCTAAATTAATACATAATACTATTTTAGATCAAATTATATTTAAATTAAACATCTTAAATTAATAAATAACCCCACTTCACATCTGCAACCATCCAAATGTCAATTATTTAGTGTATATTTGGTTGCTTATGCACATGGCTCATTTAAATATATTTATTAATAAAGTAAAATAAAATAAAACTTTTCACACTTATTATTATTTGCTAATTTCTTAAAAATACCCATATATAAATATTTTTTATAATATTCTCTAGTCTATAACTTATAAATTATTTCTTTAATCACTATTTAAGTTTATCAATTAAAATCATTATATTACTATGCTAATTTCTTCTATATGTATTATTATCTCAATATATATATATATATATATATATATATATATATATATATATATATATATATATATATTATATATATATATATATATATATATATATATATATATATATATATAATCGAGAAAAGGAGTACGACCGTCAATCCAAAATAAAGGATCCAATATAAGGATCACTCGAAGAGTGGCGGGTTTTTCGTTCAAAAGTTGCAGAAAAACAGACAAAGATGATGGCTACTTCATCTATTTATTGAAAACGTTTCGCTATCCAATTTGATAGCATCATCAGTTCATCTAAAAATAACAATATATGAAAAACCTAACATCCAATGAAAAGTTATTAAGTGTGTTACCTCAAAAAGATATGTAGCAGTCAATGATATTAAAATTGTAAAGAAGCTTACGACAATGGACATTGTAAAATTATTTTTTATAAACAATAAATTGAACTAAATATAGTTAAAAATTTTCATAAACTTAGTACAGCCAAAGAAATGTGATAATTGTACATGTATACAAAAAATTCATTTAAAAAATTAGTCAGTGGGCATATCACACAATATAAATTCTTAAATAAAATTGAGCATTTATGTTGACTTTCAATAAATATGAAATATTGCACTGAAAAAATAATTACATGCAGGGCCGGCTTTTGTTGACATTCTAAATGGTGTAATTATTTTTGATTTACAAAAGGTTGCAAATACATCGCATAACGCAAAGTAATCGTGAAAATCGTATTGATGGAACCATAGATGAAAATACTTTGTTGTTTTATTCTGATGGCATTGATAATACAATGATACACCGATTCTTTTTGGCTTGTGTTAATACAAGATATAATTTGTTCGTCGTGGAATTTCACAATAAATTATCTTTCGTAATATAATCGAAAAAGTGTTCGTAGTTCTTACTTAATAATTAAGTTCTCCATTTAAAAATACATAATAGTTTCAACCATGTTCTACCATCCATCAATTAATAGAGTACCGGCATGTAAGTAATGTTTATTTATTTGCTCATTTATTAATTTATTACAATCTAATAGACTATTTTTATAACAATTTGTGGGTCTTACCTTGTCTGTTTAAACTTTTTAAAACTTTTTATACCTTTTTATTCATTTTACTCATTTTGAAAAAAAACCACAGACATGTAATATTGGCATAATTATTGTAATTTTTAATATCTAATTTGTTTATCTTTATTAGACAACGCCCTAATATGGGTTTTTATCATTTCAGCATTTATTTAACTTTGTATCGAGACCTGAAGATGCTTTGCATATTGTAGAAAGCGAAACCGGTCGTCTGATAGTTAAATTAAATTGATTGTGAGTAAGTCTTATTTATTATTTCTTTATCCTTAGAAAAACCTTTCAAAACATCCTTATCTCAACACAATTTGATAAAATTTTATACACCGATGCGTCCAAGAATGAAGACTGTTGCGGCTCCGCTGTGTTCACACTGACGACGACAATAAGCTCTGTGCGATTGCCTAAAAGTTGTAGTATCTACACCGCAGAATTATATGGAATACTCCAAGCATTAAAGACTTTAAACCATCCAACTTTAAATGAAAGCATAAAAATCGCCATTTGTACTGATTCTCTTTCCTCGATTCAATCCATAAGAAGCATTTTCTCGAAAAACCCACTAGTCCAGGAAATCCACGCCGTCTGTAACCAACTATATTTTGCTAACATAAAAGTCATAATGATCTGAACTCCATCACATGTTGGTATATTGGGAAATGAAAAAGCAGACCAAGCCGCTAAAGCAGCATGTTCTTCCAACTTAGCCTTCAAAGAGGTCCAAATCCATACAGATCTTAAAATATTGATAAAACAAATAATCCTCAGCTCATAGGCAGACCTGTGGAGTAAATCAAAAACTAAGCTGCATGACGAGAAGCATCGGAAGAAGACGAATTTCATGGCTGAAGAACCTGAGAGAATGGTTTGGATGCAGCTCAAAACAACTATTTAGAGCTACTGCCTCAAAAATTAAGATAGCTATGATGATTGCCAACCTCCGTAGCGGAGATGGCACCTGAAGAAGATGACGTTCAACCTAACTTATCTCGCGTCAATATCTCCTCTATGAACAGGAAAGAAAAATCAGTTATTCACCGACTACTAATAGGTCATACACGTCTCACGCATCGATACCTTATGGCATCAGAAAACCCTCCAGTATGTCACTACTGTATTAGTCTCCTTTCCATCAAACACTTGATAGTGGACTGCTGCCAGTATGATTCTTCCAGAAACAAGTACAACCTAAAAGGAAATCTAAAAGAGATTATAGGTGTTCCAAACAGTTTTGACAGTGTTCTTAAATTTTTAAAAGAAACAAGTTTAATTCACCTAATATAAACAGTGCTTAGTTATAAGCTTTAGTGTTTTAATTTTTCCAAAAAAAAATTGTTTTATATAAAATATGTATAATCTTGTAAACTGTACCCGTGTGAATGACCATAAACTGTC